GGTACCGCAGAAAAACCAAAAACCAAAAAAAAAGAGAACAAAAGTTGAGCCAGTTCCTAAGGTAGCTAGGGGTTACTTGAAGGCTGTACCACTGAAGCCAGCTGAGAAGGGCAGGTTGGTGAGTTGCAAACTTACCGTAACAGGTTGGGTGCCCAGACAATGGCCAGGTTGCGGGCATGCATGCTGGTATTGGCACTGTGTCTTGCCATGCGGGCCAAGTGCCTCAGCAGGTATTCCAGAGTCCTGGGATTGGGAGAAGAGGGGGATAAGCTGAGCCTCCACTCCTTTGGAACCCCACCCCAGCCCTTCCCTGCCCTTCACAGTTACCTGTAGTGTGGTGGGGGCAGCTGCTGGATGACATCATGGACTCGCACCAGGCGTTCTTCCTCTCCCAGGACTGACATGGCCTCCTGAGATTGTAGACAGACATGATAGGGCCAGGCCAGATGCACCCCACACCCTCCAATCTTGCCAACACCCTTACTCACACTGAACTTCCCATAGAGCTGGTAGGTGAGCAGGGGGTTTGGCAGCTCTCGGAAGTAGAGCTTGCAAAGGGAGGACACACTATGGATGTCCTGCAGGAAGGCAGGGCCAGACAGTTCAGGAATCCTCTCGCTATCAAATTCATGCCTGAGACCACCACATCCAGAGGAAGAAAGTTCAGGTTAGATGGACCTACCTGGTCATGTTCTACTACCTTTACCCCAACTCCTACATACCCACAGATGGATATAACCCTCTTCCCCAGGTCCTGGACTGGGCTGTCCAAAGGGAGGATAACAAATCCCCCAAAAGCCTGCATGGCAAACACAAGAGTGTCCCATTCCAAAAAAGGAAATTGAGGCTCTGGTGGGAGATGCCTTTGCCTATAGTACACAAGGCTGCCTGACTATGGAGTGTAACCACACTCCCACCTAGAAGTTATGTCATTCTTCCAGCTTTAAGAGATAGCTAGAAACTGTGGATAAGATCCTAGATACCCTTGCTCACGCCTCTATGGTAGGCCCCCTGCTTTCAGGTAAAGCTCCCCCTACCCACTGCCTTTGTGCTCTCACCTCATGGCACTGGCAGCTCCTGTTCTCGTCCTACTCCTTCCACCTCTAGACACTCATGTACGCCGTTCCTCCTTGCCTCAGAACCCTCCTGTGGTTCGCTCTCACTTGGAGTAAAAGCCCTAATCCTAAGAGTCATCAGCAAAGCCCTTTACCCTGCCCCAAGGACTCTTAACACCATCTCTTGCTATGTTTGCTTTTACACAGGCTATCCCCTTCACTGTGACTGCGTGTCCCAGCACATCCACAGGGCTTGCTCCCTTCCTCCTCCAGCGCTGTTCCAGTCTCTGCCCCTGCTACTTAAAACTGCAGTCCTCCAGCTGGGCCTGGTGCCACAAGCCTGTAATCCCAGCACTTGGAAGGCTGAGGCAGGAGGATCACTGCAAGTTTGAGGCCTAGGCTATAGTAAGCTCAAGGCCAGTCTGAAGTACATAGTGAGACCCTGTCTTGAAAATATGAACAACAACAAAAACCCCGCAGTCCTCCTTCCTGGTTGATTACCATGATTCTCCTTATTCCAGTCTGCTTTTCTTCATAACACTTGTCACTTTGTAGTAAACGCTATCCTTTTTTTTGTTTGTCTCTCCCTCTAGCATGTAAGCCTCATGAGGACAGGAATTTCTGGTTATCTCATTGACCACTGTATCTGCAGATCCTAAAATAGTGCTTGGTACGTAACAGGTGCTCAGTGAAGGTAGATCCCTCTGCTTAGTATGCAACTCTACTCCCAGCTTCCAGGCCTTAGGTGTCACCTCCTCAAGGAAGCTCTCCCTCGGCACAAGCCTGTAATCTCAGCACTCGGGAGACTAAGGCAGGAAGATTGCCATGAGTTTGAAGACAGCCTGCTTACATAGTGAGTTCAAGCCCTGCCTGAGCTATGTAGCAAGACCTTGTGTCAGAAAATTAAAAAAAAAAAAGTAAGTAAATAGGAAGTTCTCTTTGACCTCAGCCTTTGCCCACTCCTGCTCTATGCTCTCCTAACTCGTACTAACTGTGAAACCAGCACACAGCATGGGCTGGAATGGAGAGCTGCTCAGCAAAAAAAAAAAAAAAAAAAGTGGAGAGGTGCTCAGCAAACACTTGTGAGAGGAAAACATTGGTGGAGGACCTCACCGCAGCCTCTGGATGTTGGAGGACACGCCTGAGAGCCGGTAGATTCCATCTACCACCCCATGGGCCTCAATAAACTCAGAGCAGCAGCGCAGCACCTGGGGCACTGGAAGAAAGCAGCAGGGTCAGGGCTGAGTGGGTCATATCCTAGGAGGGGTGTAGTGGGGTGGGCAGGTGGGCTCTGGTCTCACCATCCTGGCCTGAGTTGCTGAGATGCTCTCCAAGGTCACAGCCAAACACCCTCTGCCGCAGAATTCCCCGCTGCCGCAGCCGCTGCCGAGAAGGGCGGGAGCGCATGAAGGTTCGGAGGAGACCAGCCAGCTTTCCACGTGGCCTGGGCACAGCTGTGGGGACAAAGGAAAGCCACCTAGGGTCAGCACAGCCATAGACCTGTTGGGGCAGGGGTGGAGACCTGACCCCTCGTTTCCATTACCTGAGGTCAGAGAAGAGCTACCTTGGGGAGTTGGGATGCCACACAGGGGACCGTCAGCATCTGTGGGGTGAAAACAGGTAGAAAGGATAGGTGGTAGGCAGAGGATGCAGGAGGCCTCCCACCCTGTCCATGGCACTTACCTGCCTTTAGGCCAGGACCTGGCCTCTCTGTGAAGAGTTCCACACACTCACTGGGGAAGAAACCAACCTGAGGAAGGGTCAAGGTAAATGTCTGAGCCACTCTAGTTGCCACAGCACCCTACCCCCACATCTACCCCAAGCCAGGCTTACCTGGAAGCCCCGCTTGCCCCGCCACCAGCTCCGATCCTCTGTGGGTGGCATGTCGATAACTGAGACAATGTCTCCCACCTAGGAATGGGAAGGGATTTCAGAAGGGACAAAACAAGTGGGGAGCCCAGCTGTGGTCTGCTCTCCCACATCCTCACCTCAAAGGAAAGTTCATCTGGCGCCTGGGCTGTGTACCGTTTGACCACATGAGCAGCAGCCACTGCAGGGATATTGAGCGAGGCCTCCTCACTGAGGAGCAGTCGCCGGCCATGATTGTCCAGCTGAGAGGAAGGTAAGACATAGCAAGGAGAGGTCAGAAGATGTTTAATAAAAGTAAACAAGATTCCTCCATGCCCAGTGAGGCCAAGGCTTGTTCCCCACCTGAGAGCTTCTGTCACTCAAAGCTATCACCCAAATACCTAAACTCTTGTGGTAAAACAAACCCATATATCTGCCAACCAGCACTCCCCTGCACTCAAGATCTCACCATATACACTGCCACCTTCATCTTCCATTCCAGACACTGCACAGTGATGATCTAAAAATCCTCTGGTTTAAGCCACTCAGCCAAGTGATCTGAGTTACGGCCCAATCTATTTCTAGCTGGCATACCTTTAAGTCTCTACAGCTCAACACCTGCTAACACACACACACACACACACACACACACACACACACTTTCTTTCGCAGGCATGCACCCACACAGACACTAAAATACCAATACCTCCTCCACTCCTCCTTTCTTTTCTGTGCCCACACACACTCCAGAGCTGGTTCTTGCACCTCAGACACCCCTTGCCTGCTCCCAGCTCCAAGCTCCCCTGCCCAGGCTCACCTCCATCCAGGTGAGCACAGGCCCACAGTTGAGGTTACTATCCACCAGTCCAGACAGGGTCTCCAAGTACTGCAGCAGCAGTGGTACCAGCATCTAGGGGGAGGTTGTCAGAGTGGGCTCCTGTGAATAGATGCTGAGAGCGCAGGGCCCACTGCCCTCCCACACTATTCAAGCTCATTTCTGGGCTGGGCTGAAATTTAACCTGGATGTATGTGCACTGCTCAGCTTTTACATGCTAGAATATTGTCATTAATATGTGCAATTGATATGGCTATGCTGACCCTCCCAGAGAATTGGGACTCCCCTCATGGCCCCAAAATTAAAGGGAGCCTTCAGAACCCTGGTCTCTTCCTAAGTCTCCTCCATTCTGAATGGTTGGAACTTGACCACCCCAGTCTTTAAATATTTATCTCCCTTGCCTTGATGGTTTTACACCTGGCTGATGACACACTGACAGCTGAGGCAGGGTCTCAGACAAGCAGGCTACCTGGGCAGCCCTGGCACCCTCTGGGGGTGGAGGGAGCTCTGGAAGGCAGGAAAACCTCCGGTCAAATATGCACCGGTGCAGGTGGGCATCCAGGGAACGGAAGTCATCATAACTACGAAGAACTGGCCAAGAACGGCCCTGTGGGAGCAGATGGGCAGAAGGGCATAGTGCTTATATTACACTGTGCTGAGGAATATGGCAGCCAGTCCCTCAGGCCACATGAGAGGCAGGGTGGTCTCACCTGACAGGTCACTTGCACCCCAAATACCAGCTCATTCTCTCCAGAGAGGCTGGGGCCTTCACGCTCTGGAGACAGCAGGAGCTGCAGAAGGAAAGGAAGACCCAGGTGAGGACCTGGCTTTTTTCCCAGTCCTGACCGCTATAGGCTGGCACTGTCTAGATATAAACCTGGGCCCTGTTCTCGAACCTCCCCAAAGACAGGGCTTGGTGATATCTTAGAGTATAGAGCCCCACCACAAAGCAGACACCTAAGAAAAACACTGTTGAATAAATAAGTCAAAAAACAAACGGATGAATGAGTTCTCCCCATCTGTCCCAGCCCCTGCTACTGCTCCTGCTAGTGAATGTTCAGATCAGTGAAGCTGCCAGTCACAGGGCAGGTTTCAGGAGAAAGCTGCACTGGTTCAGGGTTGGGTAGAACCTCATCTTCCCACCTGGGTGCAAAGCTTCCATACCTGAATATGGCCAAAGTCAACGTTCTCATAGTGGAAATGGGCACAGTCAGCCAGCCGGGGGAAGGGACCTCGAGGAGCCGAGAGCCTGGGAGATAGGCAACACATCACCAGCAGCTCCTTCCTCTAGCCTCCCTCCCTCCTAAGGTAGGTCTTTCCCTCCTGCACCCCTCACCTCTTCCCAGGCTTCCCCTTCACACTGGGCGCCCCAGTAGGGGGAACAGGCTGCACTGAGCCCTCCCCTGGGCCATCCAGGCTGTCAGTGCTTCGGGCCTGTGGAGCAGAGAGAAGAATCAGAGGCCCCCAGAGATGGGAGCAAATAGACAACAGGAGCATTGTTATCTGCCAGCCTGGCCCTAGAGGCTGGGTTGCTCCACACACTGTCCTGAGGACCGGGTAAGAGGGGAGGTCAGCGGGAGGTGAGGGCTGGGGTGAGGATAGCCCTGCTTCTTTGTGTGTGGTCTGGAGTGCAGGACTGGAGGGTAGGGGCTAAGGGCAAGGCAGGCAACAGGAGAGAGAGGATGCTGGTTTCATCTTTCTGTATAAGACCCTCTCTAGCCCCTGCAGGCTACAGTCACATCCTGCCATTGTCTGGACATTCACAGTTCACATCTTGTCAGTCTTCTACTTCTAACCCCTTTCCTTCCACTAGGTTCTTCATAAGTTCCAGGAACATTTCACAAAACACAAATCTGGTCCTGTCTCTCAGTAGCTCCTGGCCCTCCAATGGCTCTCTGTTGTATTCAAAATGAAGTTGGGATTCTCTGGTCTGATATTCCCTGTGCTGGTTTCTGTTTACCTCTCCAGTCCCACTCCTCTATTGCCCTCACCCTCAAAGCTCTTGAACTTCAAAGAGTCCAGCAAAGTGCCATCTTTTCATCTCCTCAACTTGGAAACCTTGTCCCCACTCTATCAATAGTCTCTCCTCTTCTTCCCTCAGGTCACAACTTGCACGTGTGCTTCTCCAGGGAGCCCGCCCTGACCCTTTAGGATGTCCCTGACATCTCTACAGCCCAGCCTTGAGCACTCTGAGATGCCACTCTCTGGTGACAAGCCCATCTCCTCCACTGGATTTTCACCTCCCCAGAAGCAGGGCCCCAGGCCAAGACCCCCAGCATGCCCAGCACACAGCTGGGCACAGAAACGGTGCTCTTCGCTGGGAGCAATGTTCCAGATTCCTCTCTGGGTCCCCAACACCCAGGGCCAGCCCAGTCACACAGCAGAAGCTGAGTAAAATTGGATGAGTAAATGAACCAGCTGCCAGATGGGTATTCAAGGATTCACCAGACTGGGCTCTAGCTTCTCCCTCCTCCATGTCCCTGAACCCCAAGTTCATCCCTGGGTCTCACCCTCAGGGTCTGTCCCCCGCCAGCCCATGGAGCTCCCCAAGGCAGGATGGGATCTGACTCTCTCTGTGTCTGGAGCATGGGGCCTGCACAGAGGAGGTCTCAGTGAATGTCTGTTGAGTGAAGGAATGAATGGATGAATGAGCGGAGCGGGATGGTGGGAGAGGGAGATGGTGGAGGAGGGGAGATGAGGACAAGAAGATGGAGCAGACCCAAGGATGGCAAGGGGCAGAGTGCTGGTCTGTTGAGAGAAGTGAGGAGGGGGTGGCTGGAGAGGTGAGGTGAAGGTTCAGACGGGTGGGAGAGGGGCTGAGATGGGTGGAAATGAGGGAGACCGAGAAGAAAAGGGTCAGGCTGAGGATGGAGCGGGGTGGGGGTGGGGCTCAAGCAGGAGGAAGGGGCTGTTGGGAGGGGGAGGGGGCTGCCCTGGGGCGGGCGGGGACGCGGAGGAAGGCTCGGGATGCAGGCTGGTTTCCAGGGATGCTCGGCAGAGCCTGCGGGGGCCACTCGGGTGGCGGGGGTCCTTCGCTGGACCAGCCCCTCCTCCTGTCAAGCCGGGGTCCTCGGCCACGGCCGCCCGGTTCAGGGCGTGGAGGGGATGCGCGCTGAGGGGGCGGGGTCGAGGCCGGGGCTCGGACCCTGGACCAGGCCAAGGGAGGACGAGGACCGCGAGGAAGTGTGAGGGGCGGCGCGGGCCGCGGGGTCGGGCGGGGCCGGGGGCGGGGCACGCAGGGCGGGGTCGAGCACGGACAGACTGACAAGCGGACGGACAGACTGACGGCCGCGTGGGCTTCTCACCACCATGGTCGCGTAGCCTCCTCAGGCCCCGGCCGTGTTCGACCCTTCGTTCGTAGTCCTCGGCACCGTCGCCACCGCCGCCACTACAGCCGCCGCCGCCATGGCGACACAAAGGGGAGGGCGCGAGCCGCGCTCTGGCGGCTGTAGCCCCGCCCCTAACGGCTGCCCGAGGCACCAGAGCGCGCCCCACGGGGGCGGGGGAGAGCGGAGTCGCAGCGCCGCTTCTCATTGGCCCTACCCTTGGCCTTAGGGCAACGTCCCGCCCACCTGGATGCTTTTCATTGGCTTTGCCTTGAGCTCCGCCCCTGGCTGTCTCTTCAGTCCCGCCCTCCGAAGTTTGACAGCGCCACGCCCATGACTGCTTTTCATTGGCTGTTATCTCATCGTGAGACACACCCCCAGGTTCTTTATGCTTTGCATCCGACTCTTCCAACACTAAGCAATAAGTCATCCTCCTTAGTCCACTCTCTGTGACACTCCTCCGACAATTGTCATTGAAGTCTCCCGCGGCGTCAGAGCTTTGCTTCCTTCCTTAAGCAGGTTTTCAAAGCCTGGGTTCTTCAGTCACACCCTATCAGTCCCTACCCTAACCCCGCCTACAGAATCAGGAGGTCGCCCCGCCCACGTTCGTTTTTCTTTGCTTCGCACCCTGCCTAGGACATAATTCTAGACTTTCACCGACGTGGCCTCTCCCTACCTACTAGACATTTCCCTTGTCCTCTCTTCTACTGTCTACTGGCCTCCAGTCTTCTTTTTCCTGGGAAAAGGTTTAGCCTGCTATACTGGAACACAGTCTTACCTCCCACAAAGGCCAATTCCCATCGTTCCTACAGCTGACTGAACCGTGCCCAGAAAACACTCCGTAACAATGCCCTTTCCAACAGGACGCTGTCACTGGTCATGCCCTCAGCAGAGTCCTCTCACCTCAGAAGATATGTCCTTGGTCCATTCATTCACTCAATGACCGATCATTTTTTAATTTTTCCAAGGGCTGGGGACCGAACTTAGGACCTCGCACATGCTAGGCAAGCGCTGTACCACTGAGGTACAACCTCAGCCTCAATTCTCATCACTTTATCCACGGATACATCAATAATCGAAACAGGAAAGCCGGGTGTGGTGGCATGCGTCTATAATCTCAGCACTCTAGGAGGCAGAGGTAGGAAGATCTCTTTTTCTGCCTGGCCCTGGGGAATTTAGTGATTTTATGAAATTCAGTCTCAAAATAAAAAATGAAAGGGGGTGGGAATGTAGCTCAGTGCGAAGGTCTTGGGTTCAGTCCCCAAACAATCAGTGAAAAATACACCTTACCCACATCAAAACTCAAGAGCTAGCCAGGGATGTAGCTCAGTGGCACAGCATCTGCCTGGCAAGTGCTAGGTCCTGAGTTCAGTTCCCGGGTATCAAAAAAAAAAATATTTTTTTCAAAAGCTAGTGAGAGCTGGGCATGTGCCACAGGGTTGTAATTCCCAGCACTTGGCAAGCTGAGGCAGGAAGATCCCCAGTTCGGTGGTGGCCCACACCCATAATCTCAGCACCTGAGAGGCTGAGGCAGGGAGATCACCATGAGTTTGAGGCTATCCTGCACTACATGATGAGACCCTATCTCCAAAAACAAAAAAACAACAAAAAAAAAAAAAAAAA